AAAATGCTCCTGCATTCAGAAAAAGCAATTCAAAGTCTTATAAAATACGCATTATAAATTGAAATACTCTACCAAATAATTGTTTTCCCTTCATTTGCATCGGAACTGCCACATATATACAGGAATTAATGTCACTAAATTGCTTAATTCGCAAATTCACTAATAATTCAAAAGCGGGGAAAATTCAAAACAAATTCACTATATATCTATTGAAAACGTTTCGAACTCCATCTCCATCGTCAGTTCGAAAAATCTAGAACACATATACAATAAGAATTTAATGCAGTCGATATTAAAAACACAGAAGTCCTGAATTTGCGAACAAAAGACGGAGTACAGTAAGAAAATAAAATAAAGCAAAACCTATCTATTTATAATTCATTGTGGATATGAGCTAGTTAAAGGCTGCATTTAAATTAGGCTTCTCCTTAAAAATTTTCCGTCGGGCACCAGAACGTTGCAATGTTTGGCGTGACGGCGCACAGCCGAATGGTGAAGACGCAGTATATATAGTAGCTGCCCAGTCCTACAACTTCTCATCTTATGCTCTGCGATCCCAAAAGTAAAAGAACTGGGCAGTTACTAATTACTATCGCTCCCTTCTTATTCGGCTGTGCGCACTCACGCCGAACAGTGTGTGACGGGATGCATATTATGTGATATTTTTTTATTTTTAGGGGTACCGTTTTGACCACGTGCTATTTTGATGATGTTCTTGTGTTAGATTAGTGACTCAATAATGGTTGAATATATTTATTTTATAACTAAATTATGTAATCTCATTTGAGTGTGATATTATTTTGTTAACTCAAGGAATTAATTTATGTATGACGAAGAAATGCGTAGGCATTTTTTTTATTCTTTGACTGTAACATGGAATCTCCTTTGCTGTAATATTATCTATCGGTAGCGTTGAGTTGCCATCGTCTGCTAAGCGCCACGCGTCGTCTGAGAGCCCCAACCACGTTTAGACTTTTTTCTATATGTTAATAATTATTGTACATTATTACTTGACCTATGATTTATTCGCTTTAATGTGCAAATATTTTGTCAAAGGAATTCGTTGTTATTGTGATAATCGTAATGATTTGCTGTTTTTACGTAAATAAGTGCTGTCAATCTACGATACCATCGTTAAGGTGAGGACGGCTACGCTGCCATCTTCCGTGAGCAGGATAGACACTTTCGAGGTAGATGTTCTATAAAAAGTTGATTATAGCTTGTAGTTTTGTAAGGTTCAAATTTTTATTACTATGATTTTATTAGGTGATAATACTTATTGTATTTGATAATGCTGATTGTCAATGTTCATTTATCAAGACTATTGACAAATTCGTATTGACTCACGTGCTTGTGAAGTATTTTGTGAGTAATTCTGTAATAAATCATCTATCGTCCATTAATATGTAACCAAAGGATTAGGATAAGATGTTGCTTGTTGTAATATATTATATTATCAACTTTTTGCACTTGAAGTGTGTTAACTGCCCGTTTAGTGCTCCCTGCATACGAGGTATCGTGTTGACATTATTTTAGCTGAGTTACCTCTTGCGAAAAAGTTGTGTGTGCTCAGTTCTACTGGGTGGGGGTGCAGGCGTTTCGGCTTGAATAGGGGGAAGAGCCAGATTTGTGCTTCCAAGACTCTACCGTAATTCCGGACACATCTTGTAAAGAGATCCTCTAGCCGTCTAGCGGACAAATTACGGCGTAGGTAGAGTTCTTGGCTAGTTCCAGTTGCTGGTAGCGCTCTGGTACGGCTAGTTCCCGTGCCGAGGAACTCTCGTGTTATGGTGGCTAATAACCTCTGCGTTCGAGTATATTTGTCTGCGCTCTGGTACAGCTTCCGCCGTACCGTTCACGCCTCACAGGAACTAATAACTTCCACGCTAGGGAATAGTCGGAATTTAGCAGTTCAGTAGGGCTAGTAACCCAAGTCTCTGCAGCACTGGTTAGTATAGCATCTCGGTGCAGTTAGTTCCCGTCCCATTTGCTGTCCATTTTTGTGATTCTTTGCTGTGTATTAGGCTAGTACCCCTAGTCTCTGCGGCTAGTTGTTTGCATCTCGGTGCGGTTAGTACCCGCACCATTTGCTGTCCATTTTTGTGATTATTGGCAATGCATTAGGGCTAGTACCCCCAGTTTTTGCAGCTAGTCGTTGGCATCTCGGTGCGGTTAGTTCCCGTATCATTTGCTGTCCATTTTTGTCATTCATGGCAGTGTATTAGGGCTACACAGTTAAAATTTAGGGCAGGGAATAGAGCCGGCCGTCGCCGGCTGCAGAGCCGACGTAGGGACGTGACAGAGCCGCGATAGAGCAGATATGTTCGCATTAGAGACGATATCGCCAGTCGCGTAGCGGCGCTAATTCACCTCTGAGTACCTGCCTAGGTGTGCTCTGTCCTGTCGACACGCAGCCCTCACTGAGCATCGCCTGCTCAAATCAGCCCAAAGCCCGCTCTGGGGCGGCTCTGGCAGTGTATGCGGCAGTTACGCATCACCGTTTGTCAACGATTTAAAAAATTTATCCTTCTCTCTCTGAGATCACCTAGACTTCTCTCTTGCAATGACAGGTTGTATTGGCATTGGTTTTTGACATTCATATCGTATTGACATTAACAACGGTATTTAGAAACTAACACATTCAATTATCGAGGAAATATACACATCAAACTACTCACCGTTATAAACTATCTGAAAACGTCGACGACAGCTCCGAGAATCGAACGCAGATCCTCCGCGTCGTAGCGCACGCCTGTACCACCTTGGCCACGCGAACACTTTACCAGCCTAGGCTCTATGAACTACTTAACTATAATACGGATGCCACATTACGTTTACGGCATTACGTTCAATTATCCTTCGTTGAACTTGATAGATGTTATTCATAATGCGCTAATTTCATGAAATGAACAAAGTAGCCATTCGCATGATCCCGTCAGTTAGATAAAAGTGAATATTAGAGCTAAATTTGGTAAGTAAATTATCCTATTGCATTAGGTTCATGTCATTCGATAGTTTAATAGGAAAATTAACAACGCACTCAAATCATTAGTATGCTGAAATAGCAGGTTCTCTAAGAGTTTAATGCGAAGAAAGCGCCAAATAAATTCACCATATCTTCGATGAAAACGTTTCGGAGACCAGCACCGAAACGCAGGGAAATTCGATCAATTTATAAACTGATGATGAAGCTGGCTTACACATTTTCATTGATAAAATGGCGAATTTCCTTGGTATTTTCTTTGCTCTAACATTTACTTTTATTAGCGCGTTTTCTGTAAATCCAAGTTAGAAATTTTTTCATGATAAACTGATTGATATCTCGCTTTGGCAACGCGTGAATGACCGTAAACGTTTCTGTTTGCGTGTTAAAACTATAAGAGCATATAAAATTCTTATGTAATTCAAAGTATTATAATACTGACGTGAAATAAATATCATAACTGGCACCAGAAATTGACCCAAAATAACGTACTATGCGAATGAACTAGTTGAAGGATGAAGTTCATTCTCCCGCCACTAGCTGTTTCCAACCCCCTACCCCTCCTCCTTCTCTCAATGCCCCCCCATGCACGGCCTGCTTAGCTGCTCTGTTCAGCTCCCTGCCGGGTAATCCAAGTACCAGCGCGGTAACAGCGCAGAGTTCCGGCCCTGCCGAGCTGTATAGAATTTGTCTCTATAATAGCCATGACGCAGCGCCGTTTTAGAGATAGATGGCCGGTTATAGTTTCACGGCTCCATCCTGCTAAAGCGCGACCAGCCCGGCTAAACCCGGCGCCGGTCTCGGCTCAAAATTTTAACTGGGTAGTATCCCTAGTCTATGCCACTGGTCGTTGGCATCTCGGTTCGGCTAATTCCCGTACCATTTGCTGTCCATATTTGTGATTCATGGCAGTGTATAGGGCTAGTTTCCCTAGTCTCTGCGCTGGTAGTCGGCATCTCGGTGCGGCTAGTTCTCGTACCATTTGCCATCCATTTGTGATTCTTGGCATTGTATTAGGACTAGTACCCCTAGTCTCTGCGACTGGCTGTTGGCGTCTCGGTGCAGCTAGCTCCCGTACCATTTGCTTCCCATTTTTGTGATTATTGGCAGTGCATTAGGGCCAATAACCCTAGTCTCTGCGGCTGGTCGTTGGCATTTCGGTGCGGCTAGTTCCCGTACCATTTGCTGTCCCTTTTTGTTCCTCTCAGCTGTATATTAGGGCTCATACTCTAGTTTCTCGTTGCTGTTTGCATCCCTGAAGTGTAAATCCTTTTTCCGTGAACTTTTGGACTAAGACGTATAATAAATTGGCGCCCTTACATGGAGAATCTTGTAATTTGCCTGAAGATTAATCACCAGTAAACTACGAAAAGTTTCTTGTGTTCATTCCTCCTCTCTCCAACGCAAGGGAATTAAGAACGGAACCAAAGAGCGACTCTTTAGCCCTTGTATTTAGAAACCGTACCAAAGTCTCCAACAAGTCGGTACCCTATTTGTAATTATTTCAACTTCGACTCGGTGTTTCCGGTTACAAGGGCAGCGTTCCAGTACCAGACAGTGACTCTTAGGTTTTAGCTTCTAATTCTTGTGCTTCCGGAAGGCGTATTTTGAAATTATTGTATATTTTCAAGGAGAGTCCTACTTTAAATGCAGCCTTTAGCTCTTATCCTCTAGAAATTGTAAATAAATATGTTTTGCCCCTTTTTCAATTACATACTCTATCTTTTGTTCGTAATTTTAGGTTTTACTTCTGTGTTTTCTAATATGTTTAATGTTCTAGATTTTTCGAACCGACGACGGAACTGCACTCCAAAACGTCTCAAACAAGAAATTTTCAAAAAATAATTGTATCAATGAATGCGAGATTTTCTTTTTCTGTGACTAGATATGGTTGAATGAAATACTTTGCACTCGTGATGTTAAAAACGTCACACAATGCATATATCACTTTACAAGATAATAAAAACAATTCGTATCATATGGTGAAGAGACCAAGTTAGCGTCATTTTAGGGGTGAATTTTTAACTAATTTTGTAACTACTTATTGAGTAACTGTTGATTTATAAATATGGTTGATAATCCTACTCCGGTGGACATCATAGCGCCTGCTCAGTGAAGCATGCTCCACGGCAATTGCTTCGCTTAACCGTTAAAAACACTATCTTTAAGCCAGTCATTCGAAAGAAGTAGAGGGAGTACAAAAAAAAATAACTCCATCATGATTCACAGCACCGGGCATCGCCACGCCAGCCACAGAAGCTCTCTGTATGTTTTATTTCAGGAATGTGCATGCTGCATCAAATCTACCGTTATAAGCTGGTGGTTTTTAGAAGCCGAGGGCCCTGATTCTATATTTTCTTTGTCATTGAAGCTGCACCATCAGCTTTAGCTTTCGATTTAACAGTCTTAAATGGATTTTCTGTAAACGCTGGAAGTTAACAAAGATCAAATCATTAATGAGCCAGAGACTCAAGCCCGTATTTGAATGAAAATATATTTCGTTCACCAGCAGGGTTGTAATATTTTTAAATAAATCATGAACGTGAATAAAATTCGTACTGAAGTATGAAACCTCTGCTGTTCTAAGAAAATGTTAAGCGCACACAAACGCACATTTTAATGCTGCGCATGTTCAAAGTGTGCTGATGTGAGGTGAATAGTAGCATACCTTAAATGTCATGCTATCCATTGTGACGAAAAAACTACAACGATATCGTTCATCATGAATGCATCTGCCGTTACATGTGCACCCGAGTACATATCCCAGTAAGTGAAGGAATGTTTGTCGCTGGCGGCATGACACGATTTTTGCCGGTCAGCTTTACATGCAATGCACGTGCGAAAAATTCCATGCATAAAGTACCTTGTGCAAAATAATTCTTCACACAGCAATAAACAATTTATTGCATTGGCTTAAAATTCTTAAATCATGAGAGCAAGTAATACAATATTCGTTTCAAGTAATTTTGACTGAAAACGATGACCTTAAAACGCGATTTGTCAATAGTAAACTCTGCGCTCGCCCTTTTTTCTTCGTAGTTTAATGTGATTTCGCAAGCTCTCTGTCGACCCAGGCTTGTACTTCTTCCTTGACAAGGTCCATTGGTCCGACGCTGTTGAGGATGACGTCATGAAAGTCTTTGAGGTTGAACTGGTCTCCGAGTTGCTGTTCTGCAGAGGCCCGGAAAGAAGATATCTGCATTTGGCCGATCTTGTAAGACAAGGCTTGAGCCGGCCATGCGATGTAGCGGTCAACTTGATCCTGTTAATATACAGTTTATTTGAATTATCATAATCATTATTGCTATCATTATTATATCATATCATTATCACCTATCACCATATCATACCATTATCATATCATACCATTATCATATCATACCATGCATTATCATATCATATCATTATCATAACAGTGATCAATGTTGCTGAAATTAAATCATTATTTGTTTGATTAGTAAGGCTTCACGACTACAAAATTCAGATAAACGACGAGTTTAAGAACCGATTGTTTCGTTATATAGCTTCAATAATTACATAATTCTTCGCGGTAATGCATATTTTGTTACGTTTTTAAGTGGAGCCCAACACTGAAAATACTAGAAGACTCTTTTCAACCTCGTGCAGTGTAAAAGTTGATTTAAAAAATTATTACCAATAGTTGCATGCATCTACAGGTAATTTTCAAAGCAACTGACATTTAAACTGAGGTATCTGCCATACCAGTGCTCAAAAGTGTCATTACCGTCATCAAACTAGTTCGACATTATGGGCACACTTTTTCCGAGGTAGCTAAAAAGACGTGTTGATTGTCGATATAATTACCTCAATAAAGGACCTGGGCCGTATGGTATAGTCTAACATGTACTGAATTGCTTGCTCCTTTGACCAGCCGAAAGCGTGAATGCCTGTGGAACATATAATATTGTTGAATAAATTTGAAATGTGATAGTTCCAACTGTGTAACTATTCATTATTCACACTTCAACAGGCATGCTACAATTTACGAGCAGTCTTAATGTGTTACCATTTTTAACTGCCTTTCATATAACCTCAAAATTATCTCCAATATTCCACGGTTATTTCAGGTATTTATTTTAAAACAAAACAGCAATCTACTTACGGCATCAGCTCAATTTTTGTTTCCTATTCACATTCATGCGTTAGTTTTGAGCAATTATATACGAGTATAAGAATGTTCATGTTACCGGTGTCGACGACAAGCCGACACGCTCGGAAGATTTCGTCGGAGTAATGGCCGAGTCGGTCTCGCAGATTTTCGTAGACACCCATTTCGAAGCCCAGGCTTTCTGCGTACAACGCCCAGCCTTCACCGTAGAATGAAAGTGTTGGAAAGCTGCAGACATAAAATTTTATGGTTTCTATTCTGTCTCCAAGGTTTAGATCACGAGCTTTGTTTACACCCATTAATTCGATTACGTACTTTTTTTTGTAATGCGAAGTTATTCATCACGCTCTACAGAACTTAATCATTTAATGCTCATTTCGAAATTTATCCGACGTTCAATGTAGAAACCATAATTTTTCCAAAATATCATCTCACAGATGGGCAGCCATAAAGTAACAGTCGTGAAATTTATAGAAATTAAATATGATGAACAAAAAAGACGTTTTAACTACCGATATTTCTTCCTTCTAACTCATTCTTAGCTCTAAAATAATTTAAATTAAAAGACCTTAAAAATTTACCCACCTATAATTCAAACCAAGCACAAGTTCAATTTGTTATATTATATTTATTTCTTAAGTTATATCTTCGGACCAATCGTTATATCATTTACTACAAGCTATCTTTTCTACCTATCTAGTAATATCGTAGTAACATCAAGCGTTTAATAATATCTTCGGAAAATTCTCCAACTAAGAACAAAATTTCAGGTCCAGGTAATATTCGACATCAGAAGTATCGTGGATACGGGCTGAAACAGCCTCTACATACTTGCGTTGCCAGGCAATCTGCCAAATTAGACGAAGTACAAGTAAGTGACAGATGTTAGAAAATTCTTGCGTCCTGCACTGAATATATATCTCTCATGAATTTAAAACCGGTAGCGTCACAACCTTTTTTGTGAGCAATTATGAATGACTATAACCTATTTAATTTCACTATTAATTAAATACTTCAATCTCAAGTGCAGTTGTGCTGAATAAAGGTTCACAGGCATGAAAAACTATATTTGAGCCAGGGAATGATAGTTTAAATTTGATAGAAAAATACAAATAGTACACTATTAATTAATAAATCTCCTTCGAAAACTATTAATTAGTGAATTGAATTAGTAAACTATTACATAGTAAACAAGATTAGTTTACCAGTGCTAATTAACTAAATTGAATTAGTGCTAAATAGACCAGCAAGACAGCGGGGATGCATGGCTGCAGGAAAAGGTCCCGACTAGGCTTGTCCTTGATTAGGCGCGCCACTATCTAGGAAGAGTTAAAAGCGATCTAATCATCAATAATTGCATCGGCTAATAATGCTGAAATTTTATAACTAAGAATAATGAAGAAAAAGAACATGTTTGTAAATAGATAAATGCCGAAAGACATGACACACCTGGAGGGCATTTGCGTATAGGAAGATGAAAAAGTGGTCCGTCTGAACTTTGGAATAAAGCTGGACTCGAGTGCATGAGAAATCTGTAAATGGTGTCCCGGAACTCCTTCGTGGAGGGATAAAGAAACGATAGGTAATTTCGTGTGCGAAGATAATATTCGTGTGCCAATCTTGAACGTGCCTGGTCGAGTGCCATCAGGAGTTCCAGCATCGTAAAACGCTCCTCCGGCATCTGGCTGTTCTTCCACCCTGAGCACACATGGTTGGGTTGAGACAACATGGCTTGATTTTACAACTGCCTTAAGGTGAGTTAAAGCGTGTCCAGCAGTCAGCTCATCAGCAGCTTATAGACTAAGCAGCCTTCAGTACGCACTTATATAAAAATTATTAGTGCCCCAGTTCATTGCTGGCTAGTTTTGCGTTGTAAATCATTGCTCGTTTCTGTCAACTTTATACTGTTTATTCGTTACTTAAACGAATGCTCCCATTCGAGGCTCACATGATCTGAAAGCTCAGTGTTCAATAATAATTTTTTTATGTTGATCGCAAACTTAAAAATTTTAAACGGTGAAGCATTATTAACTACCCAGTGAAAATTTACAGACGCGGCAGCTTCTGATTTGGATTACCAGAAGCTGGGGCGACTCTAAATTTTGTTAGGGTATTGCATACAGGTTTATTTCAGGTTTTTAAAAGCACTTCAATGATTAAATTTGAAGTTGTAATCCATTTGGAAACCAGCTTTGAAATTTAAACCCCATTAAGCGCAGTAAAAATCTTATAAAAATAACTAATTCGAACCTGCGCGGAATTGGTACAGCTCAAACTACATCACCAACAGCAAGCTAGCTTGATGAAATAAAGACTTCTGGCAAATTCATCGTTTCTAATACGTAAAAGGAGTTAGATACGACTACGACTTCAGGAGTTAGATACTTCAGTTGCGCTGCGGGCATTTTGTTGAAGAACGGCTTTGCTGCTGGTATAGTGATGTTGTGGACAACATGTCTGTGGGCAGCGAGCAGCTCCTCTACGCTGGAGAACTGCTGGGTTGGGTCGTCCTGCAGCTGCGACACAAACTCCCGCAGTGTCTGGTTGTAGCCCAGGTCGTACACCACCTGCAATTGGGAGCGCAGCCGTGGGTAGCAAAATTGACTCGTAAACAGGCCCTGGGCCCAACGCCAATCATCAACGTGCAACATCTACACACAGCCCCAGATCAATGAGTTGTGGGTAACTACGGCTAACAGTAAATACGCTTTGCACAACACAACCACTGCTTCACTGCCCCGGAGCACAGCTGGTCGGAGCGCAACAGGCCCTACCGAAACAGGCGCAGGTTAGGTTAGGCTTGGTTAGGTTACGTTAGGAGCAGCCTGTTGCGGTAGGGCCTGTTACGCTCCGGACAGTTGTGCTCCGGCGCTGTGAAGCAGTGCCTGTGACTGAACGGCGCTGTTGTGGTGGGCGCTCTGTGTCGAAAGCCGTGAAGATGCCCGGCTGCGTTACGCTCGGGAAGGTATATGAATCGCACTGTGGACTTGGGCTATGCTGACCTCTAGCTATCCACCTACTGCAATTGACATTTCGCTCTCATTGTAGAATTTAGACGTGTTAAAATTATAAATTTCGTATAATTTTTTTACGGAACATTTTGTCACATGCAATATAATATAGAGCAATATAAGGATTGATAGGTAGAGCAATATAATGATATAGTTTTTAGTTCACAAAAGGGCCCAATAACTTATTAATTGTCCGATCAATACAATAGAAGGTGAATGACGAGTCTTTTACTTAATCTAAGACTTATTTAGGGTTAGACACGGTGAGATTAATACAGATATTGCAGAGTTAGTACGGATGATAATATCGAGACTATTGCGTTAGACACAATTGCCGGAGCCGTCAGTAGTAGATGCGAATAAAGGCAGGATGTCAAAGCAGCGTGGGTTAGTTGGTTACTTTCTGTTCTGCGACTGACGCAGGGAACGCTTGAAGTGCCTATATGGACATCCAAAAATGACGTCATAGAAGGTGACGTAGTAACCGCCAAGGCAAGTATAGGAGATGACGGCAGACAACCTGACAATTTTTATAATCAACCCAGACAAATGACCTAAAATTAAACCTTCACAAATTATTACAAATTTCAAATCGTTCTCAACGAACGGTTATTTCTTATGGTTTAGTTAGAACTATCCTGTAAATTGCATAGAAAAAAACTTTGATTGTCTGTAATTAGAGGACTTGTAATTAGAAAAAATAATGAATACTTGTTTCTGATTTTCGAAGAAACTGTGTGAGACATTAATTAAATTGAAGTGTTATATTAAACTCATGACTCGACATAAGAGACCACAAGGTTATTAGTAAATTCGTACATACTAGTGCGAGACTGATTTTTTTTTTTTTTTTAATTGATTTTAAGACTTCGGGTATGATAAGATCACACCTCCCAGTCTGAGCACAACTTGATTTTTCTCTGAGCCTTTCTTTCTCTTGCCAACAGTCGTTCACAGATTAATCTCTAGCTCACTCTCACCAGCCGGTGGTTGTTGTGTGAAAGAAGAGATAAAAGGATTAGTTACTGGGCGTCTTCATAGGGTGTTTACCATGCTGCAGCTTAGCAGGTATTGTCCCAGCCGACGAATTGCTGCTGTGCGTATTTTCTGAGGGATATCTCCTCCACCAAGAGCTGACACAAGGTTCCAAGGAAGTGAAAGATTTTCCAAGTTGGAGCGAAACTCGCGCCTCTGATTTGTGTAGAGCGAACAATGCAAGATGAAATGATCAATAGTGTCCTCGACATTGCATGTAGGACACATGCTGGAATTGGACAAATTGAAACGAGACAAATGAGCCCTCACGCCAGCATGACCAAGTCGCAGACGAGCCACAGCACATTCCATAGAGCGTGGTAAAGATCCATAAGCCACGTAATCCACTGCTGCTCCCAGGCCCAGCCNAAGTAAACAAATAAAAGAAATAAAAATTTTAATACAGATAAAGAAAGAAAAGAAAAATATAAAATAAACTCAAAATAATTTAAGACAAGAAAAAAAAAAAAAATTCAGCAAAGCAGACTGGCAAACCCCTGAGGGAGAAAGCCAGTTGTGTTTATAAGGTATCAAACTTTAAATTAATATTATTTTAAGTAAATGCAAATGCTTATCCTTCGACAATAAATTCACCGGTACTTTGGAGAGCTCAAATAACACACGTGCTTTCGCCGTGAACGCAACTGACTTTCTCCCTCGAGACTGATATTTAGAAAGTCCTATGCACACCTGTTGCATGAGGGCTGCTATCCTCTGGACCTCCTTCAGTCCGGTCTCGTGGATTTCCTGCGCCGACAGGTTCTGGCCCGTGTAGAACCTGCGGATGAATGTATGGATGATGAGGATGATTTGATAATGTGAATCTGAACTATAGGATGAATCTTTATTGAAATGACTAAAATCTCAACTCGTGTGACGTATGATAATAGTTCAAGAATTATTATTTTAAACAGTTAAAGAACAATAAAATACATCCAAATATTCATTTAAATCAACCGAGCAAGAAGTTCATAGGAGATTCTAATTCCAATGTTGTTGTGCTTTCTGAAGGCAGTTGCTGTTTTGGGCTAAAGTAGATTGTAACAAAATAAGTTAATTAATTAGATAATTAAACAATAATCAGTCGCCGCATGTTGTCACGGTTAATTGTGACCGTGTTCGACATCGACTGCTCAGGAGTTCCCTCCTGATCGTTGTGCTGGTAGGACGTGTGCCGCTCGCATGAAATTTATTGCCGCGGGCCTGAATTTACGTCGGTTTTTGAGTTTTGAGCTGGCAGTGCTATTCTCAAATCTGATCTCACATGTTATGAGTCCGGTGAAGTGATCATGGCGGATAAGGGAACTCATTAAGCCAGTAGAAGTGTGGAAGTCAATTGAAAGTTTAAGGCCAGGCTAATACTTTCAAATTTCGTAAATATCGTAATTTTTTAGAAAAAAATCCTGATTTGGCTAGATTAAATCTAACTTAGTAATCAAACATTTAAGTTGAAAATCAAAATAGCCTTTTTTCGGTGAAGAAGTGAATCAATGATAGCAATGTGTGATAGACACAAATAATTAGATATTTAAAGAAAAATACAGTGAATGCATTTGTGACTCAGGAAGGTGTCAAGTGTGCAGGAAGTATAAATTCCAGCCCAGGTCGGATCTAAATTTTAATGCGAGTATCCGGTCGCCAGACAGCCGCCAGCCGCGGCCAAAATTCCTTACCCTGGAATCTAACAGGAAGAGATAGTGAGTCAGTCACTATTCTAATTATAGGGCAAGACTACCGACAAATAGGAAACCTTTCGAACTAACTATTCATTGAAATAGTGATCTTGAAAAATAAAATTAGTGCAATTAGATATACGAATTAGAAAAAATACGGCATTAGGTCAAAATGTTTTGCGATTGAGCCCACTATGGGTAATTCTTTTGCAATCTGCCACAAGTCTTGCAAATCACCAATAGCCGTTCAATGCAACAAATGCCGCGTGTTTATACACCTTCAGTGTGCAGAACTTCCGCTTTACGTTCTCGTGAGACTTGACCAGACCATGCAGAGTTTCATTTGAATGCTAACACTGCGTTATGAAAGAATGCGGAGATAAATACAACATGAATAAAACAAAGCTTCAGTCAGCCATGACCCGCCTGCTGGACGAAAGGGAGCCAGTAGATGCAGTGTACCTCGATTTTGCCAAGGCATTTGACAGTGTCCCACATGAGCGGCTGTTGCGTAAATTGAAGTCTTTGGGAATTGAGAGTAATGTACTCAAATGGATCAGAGATTTTCTAGTAGGGAGGCGACAACGTGTCAGTATTAATGGGTCCGTATCAGACTGGGCGTCATAGCGCAGCGGCGTGCCAAAAGGAAGCGTGCACGGCCCTGTTTTATTCGTTGCGTTTATAAACGATCTGCCAGAAGCTGTATCTAGCGTGTGCTCGATGTATGCTGACGACACAAAAATTTATAATACAGTGAAGAATACGTCGCAAAAAGTACAGTTACAAGGTGATCTTGACGGGCTGGTTGACTGGGCTGATAGTGATAAGTGGCAGCTGCGTTTTAACGCTGACAAATGTGAAGTAATCAACCTTGGCAAGAATAATGACCAGCAAGATTACAGTATGAGACGACACGGTTGCAACGACAGAGTGATGATGTCGAAGTCGACAATGGAAAAAGATTTAGGAGTTAATATCGACAATGAGTTGAAATTTTCTAAGCATATTGAAGGTCAAGTTAATAAAGCCAATAAACGACTTGGACTGATCAGACGCTCTTTCGAGTTCCTAGATGCAGTAGCGATGAAGCAGTTGTTTGTTGCTGTCGTGCGCCCGAACCTAGAGTTTGGAAACGTCGTGTGGTCACCGAAATTTGAAAAGGACAAAAATTTATTTCCAAGCCTCAGTTATCGACGTCTGCGTGGGGACCTCATTGAAGCATACAAGTATACTCATGGCTTATACAAGATCCCAGAAGGATTACTAGAATTTAAAACAAGAACCGACACCAGGGGCCACGGCTATAAACTGAAAAAACGGCGTTGGAACACATCCATGCGACAACATTTCTTCTCGCTTCGAGTCACTGACATGTGGAACAGCCTCCCTGATAGCATAGTTGACGCTCCGAGTATGAACATCTTCGAAAACAGACTAGACGAAGCTATGCAGGAGCATATGTTCAGTCTTAAAATGCCCAGCAAATTACGGACCAGAAAATCGAGATCCGGCCTTTGGGATCTCGGGTCCCAAAGGCCGGAATCCCTTGTGAATCAAGTCACGAAAAGTTCAAGAATCGGCAACAGGCCATGGGCCTATTTCTTCAATGCCGACACTTCTATTCTTTTCTATTCTATTCTATGAATTTTCGGCAAACAGACATATCCAGTACGGCCTCCTCCATTTCCCCTACTACCAGCCTTACCCCCTCCCCCTCCCATACCCCTTCCCTTCCCCCTCCTATTCCCTCTCCACCTCCCCCTCCCATGCCTCCTCAACTCTCCTCTCCCCCAACCCTAACCCTGTCAAAAGCCAAGAGACCAGAGATGACCAGGGCATGTGTGAGTTACTGGGATCGCAGTTTGAATCTGTCTTCAGTAACCCCCGCAACTCAAGGGAGGAGAATGAAATCGAAGTTCTCCAGGAACTGCCAGGAGGAAGGGGGTTGGAGAACATTGAGTTTGGGTCAGAAGATATGGAAATAAGTATCAAAGAATTGGCGACGTTCTCAGCACCAGGACCGGATAGAATTCCGGCAGTGCTGTTGAAGAAGTGTGTTGGAACTCTGAAGGCCACGCCTTCAATGCTCTGGAAAGCCTAGATGATGGAGGGAATTATTCCTGAGGTCCTAAAAGTGGGACTTAAAACGCCAATCCACAAAGAAGGCTCGAGGGACAGACCTCAAAATTACAGACCGGTGACCTTGACCTCACAGGTGATTAAGGTTTTTGAGAAGGTAGTGACCAGGAGGCTTGTCCAGTACATGGAGAGGTGACCTGTATAATAACGGACAACATGGTGTCCGACGCAATCGTTCCTGTTTGTAACAGTTACTGGAACACCATCACCGCCTTATCGCCCTACTGGAGGAGGGAGCTGGCGTGGATGTAGTATACCTGGACTTTGCTAAAGCCTTTGACAAAGTTGACCATGGGGTGCTCGTCAGAAAGCTGAAACTGTTGGGGGTTGGAGGAAACCTGTTAGGGTGGATCCACAACTTCCTTACGAATAGAGTACAAGCTGTTGCAATTAGAAACTCAAAATCGAGAGGAGCGAGAGTGAAAAGCGGTGTGCCACAGGGCTCGGTGCTTGGACCGATCCTCTTCCTCATCCACATCGCCGATATCGACTAAAAACTCACCCACGCATCTACATCGTCATTTGCGGACGATACAAGAGTGTTGATGAAGATCACAGAGGAAACAGCCTGCGAGAGGTTATAGGACGACTTGTCGCCAATCTATGATTGGGCCCTATGTGAATAACATGCAATTTAACGGCACCAAGTCCAAAGTAATGAGTGAGATACAGAGTTGGCACAGAGATCGGGATGCCACATCGCTACTTGGCATCAGATGGCACAGAAATTGAAGAGAGGCAACTAGTTCGAATCCTCGGAGTGTTGATGTGTACTGAAGCCACGTTCGATGACCACATCGAGGAAATAGTTGCGCGAGGGTGACAAAAGATGGGGTGGATATGGCGGACATTTCGAACAAGAGAAGCAGCGCCAACGATTACATTCTTCAGAGCCTTTGTGCTCCCCAATCTTGAATACTGCTGTCAGCTTTGGGCGCCGCTCAAGGCGGGTGCGGTGCGAAAACTGGAGGCAGTACAGCGGATCTTCACGTACAGGATCAGCGGCATGAGGGAGCTAGATCTGAACTACTGGGACAGGCTGAAACACCTGGGACTGTACTCATTGGCGAGGAGTACTGTACACTTGGAAGATGATAAGCGGACTGGCTCCCAACTTTGAATGTTAGGCCTCCAGAATAGTGACACATTACAACGAAAGGAGGGGCAGGCTGTGAAGGGTTCTTCCATTTGATAAGCGAGCCGCGGCCAGAGTACAGACCCTTCGTGAGGGATCACTGTCCGTGTTAAGACCGAGGCTCTTTAATGCCTTGCCAAAAGTGCTAAAAGGAGGGGAGTTCACCCTTGCAACATTCAAGATACGACTGGACAATTGGTTGAGAAAGATCCCAGATTGTCCAGTAATGGGAAACTACCCTCAGCAAGTGACAAGCAACAGCATCTTGCATCAGCTGGCCCAAAAAAGGGCAAATAGACGGAACACGTCCAACGTTACATCCGGGACCCAAGGGTGGGGTGACCTGCCTAGCGACGACTCGGAGACGGCGGACGACGAAGGCGGAGCATCAGCTTGACCGTGGACTACGAAGTCTTAAACTCATCATAAGGCCATAAGGTTATAACAGGCCGACAAACATCCAATTGACATGTCGTTATCATTTTTTGTTTGTCACTAACAAATTAAGTCGTTATCTCATATAAGAAAGATAATGCAGAGGTTCTTACTGGATGACTTGCGCGTAAAGTTTGTCACCGTTTGGCAGCGATGCGATGGCAATGTTCTTACGAGGGACGTACTTAGTGGACATGAAATTTTTCAGCTTGATGAATGCTGGAGTTACCTGCAATAAAGAACTGAATTTATTGCGTACTGTAAACCCCCTATAATATTCATAATTTTTAAATATTTAATCGTAAGATGTTTGTGTGTAATTTTTTAAAATTTGCTATTAGATGCCAGAATATTTTAATTTGACAAATTTATGCTTTGGAAATCATAGTTCATATATATATTTTACTTATAACAACATTCACATTCATCTCAATCTTATTTGATTTCAAAATATTACCCAAATTACTGAGTAAGTGGCTCATCATATGTGTTCGACATCCCAGTGCAGTTGGGATGTTCATGAACACTAATATTAACTATATTAATCAATGCATCCAGTTTTCAAGTATACGTTGTCAAAAATTAAGACAAGAGACTCAAAAAATGTATAGGTACATATTGATATAGCTTCCCAATGTCAGCAGCTGGGACCTCATGATTAATAAGTTTGTGCTTTTACCAAGTAGCTAGTGGTGGTCTGTTTAGTATAAATCAATTACTAACCAAACCTTTCCTCCCATAATGCGCAGGCACAACCAAGTATTAGCAATCTACAATCTTGCACTTATTGGAGAACAATCATTGGACATAATAAACTTGTTCCATTATTAAATGATCATTAATCTCAGCAGAATAGACATTTCACAATATACGCTTGATTTATCTATAAAAAATTTGGAAGATTAAATTTTCTCGTAACTAGTTGCCTCAATATTACCTTATCTCTAATGACCGCCTCCGCCTGTTGTTGAAGAGAAGCCACTTCGCTTGGCAAAAAAGTTTCAGGGAACTTTTTGAAAAATTCAGCAAATATCGGAGATTCTCGAGGGACATCCGAAATAAATTCAGCCAACTCCTGATCCAGTCTGTTCTGTAGGATCAAACTTTGAAATAAATGCAGCCACAACACTTAAAAAATAAACTACTCATAAAATAAAAATAAACGAATACTTAACTAGACATAAATGGATCCTTATTTACATTTTTATTTTTTTCTCGCCTCTTCATCTCAAAAGATATTTTTGAATTCCTAAATAGCAAAGTTTCGTACAAGAAGATTTCATCCATCGCTTTGAATTTATTATACAACAGACCAGTAAAATATATAATTTTAAACATGATCAGAATGACTTGTAGGAACCCTGGTACGCACCACGTTATATTCGTGCAGCGTGATGTTCTTTTCGACACCGAGAGCCATGAGCTCTTCTATTTGCGCCATCTGTTCAGGCAGCGCATGGAGCCGCTGCAGGATAGACATGTAGTGCGCGTAGGTGAGGCGCGGCATTTTGGTGAGCAGAGATCGCAGATCAGACTTGGGATTGCCAAGATTGCTGATTGTCATCAAGTAGCTGCCAGAATAGTCAATCTTAGTTGATTGATATTAACATTTAGCATTTGTCGCTTCACGTTGTATGATTATCTAATAATAACAAAAATGACGACAACAGAATAGTAACTAGGGGATATCAAACTGGTCAGTAGACAGAGTATGGAGGGGTCCTACAAAACAACAGTGCATCAATACCTCTTTGCTTCAGCATCAAGATTGAAATCTACGTTATAATTTAAAATAAATCGATTGAGATCCGGAGACGCCAAATATTTTACTAGCATCTTAACTTCAATGCTCACATGAGCGATACCCAATAACAGCATTGAAAAATATATATAAATACTTAATATAGAATAATGAGATAGGAATAATTTCCTCGGTATTGATATTAATGAAGTTTAACCGATAAATCAAAAGCAAAATATAAATTGCTTAGAGCTGATAGCATTTGGTGAAGATACCACCCAAGATCTCCACACGGTGGTATTAGGAAAAGTGAATTAGTGTTCTAATTATCCGATGATCAATTCATGTAAGAGAATACTCAAAAAACATGGATGAAATAAATCACTTGCATTGCACCTTAGAAGGCTGTTAGTGCATTTTTGCCATTCAGATACATCCTAAACTGGTGCCTACACATACCTAGCTAAACTTAAATAAAACATTTGATCGAAACTAGACTCGCCCTTTTACCTATAGCAGTTGACAACACGATTGAATAGCGATTGCAATAATTACCTGGGGTTATCGTAATTTTTATATTTTTTGCCGCTTAATAAAAAGTACTTTTAACTTTCAATTTGAGATTATTCCTTGTCTTTAACAAAAATATTTAATACTACCATTACTCATTGATATAATAAATTATACTACCATTCGTCATTATTCATTATTACTCACCCCTGGTACGAAGCGCCATCAATGTAAGTTTGCAAAGTGTACTTGAGGACCCGCATGTTGACGAGGTCTTGATGACGCGTGAGGTTGGCCTCTAGCGTCTCGGCCCTGGCTAGGAACTGTTCCACGTCCGCCAGTCTCTTGTCGTACGCTGCTAGGGACATGTTCGTGAGGCGGTGGTCGAAGTCATGGAAGCCCACCTGATAAAATGGGAAGATTAAATTCGATTCTTTCAATGCGAATTGTCAGAGTTCATGCGTTTTCAGGTCTTCGCAGGGAGAAAATAGGTTGAAAAAATGAAGCAAATAAATGTGATTTTTTGACAGCTTACAATGTAAATTTTATGTAAAATTAAATCTCCAGGCGCAGAGTGTGAGAATGTGAAAAATTGATTTGGCACGTTTCTGCGCACGTGAAGTAACGACATAAGTGATCTATAACCAAATCGAATTTTAGATTCTATTCTTGGTCGCCTCTGACACCATCGACTCTGCATCGATGTGAATCAGGTGCAAGTGAATCAGGCTCTACCATATTCGGCTGGAAATTAGGAGCTTCTTGCGGGAGTCGATTGCACGATGAGCCGAATCTGCGTAATATAACCAAAAAAGAGCAGCAAGTCAGGCTGTCTCATTTCAGATGCTAGTATTTAAGCAAATCATGACCGTCACCCGCTCATGGAATAGCGTCGATGTATGTTCACGCGAACTTTTGTTAAGGGATACCTTTGAAAAATGAAAATTTACCTGCAAATTTCTTGAGCTTACGTAGTAGTTAGATAGTGATTTCATTGATCAAGTGAGAATACTTGACAAGTACAGGGCAGTAATAAATTAATATTTGTAGCTCCAAGAGATAAATTTCAAATCTTTATCATAACATATCAAAACTTACATAACTAATATGTAAGCTGTTAACTAGCAGAAAAAGCTACAGATGAACGCCCGGTTTTGCATGCATGGCCTACAAGTTTTTTTATTAAATGTTGAAGTGTCACTTTAATTTTGGGATGAAATTGCTCGATATTGTGATGACAGTGCATTGCCAGATGACAGGCATGAAACAATGTACCTTCAGTAATACAAATAAAGGTCTACGAAATTTCAATATGTTTAGGTGAGGCTCTTAATTGTATAATATTGTGGTGCGGTTCGCATATTTCCTTTAGTCAATTTTGATCGTTTCATTCAATGGCGGTTGTTCGTACTAGGCGTTACTCATCGCGGCGTGCTACGCGTGTCGTAATATACAACTCTGACTACTGACTACTTTTCTGCACCTGACTACTACAGGGTGCGCCACAGAAACTTACTTATTTGAAAAAATTCCTGTGCGGTTAGTTGGTCGGGTAGAGGGGCGAGAGGGGGTGCATCTGAAGGGGAAAGTTCCAAAGTTTGTTTCTCAGAGTTTCTCAAATAAAGTTGCTGTAGTGCAAGAATTAACTGAACGCGATTTTGTTGCCCGTCAAAATGCATGTAAAATGCTGGTTGACAACCTGCCTGAAGACGCGGTCGTTTTTTTCAGTGGCGAGGCTCACTTCCACATTTCCGGCTGCGTCAACAGGCTAAACATGCGTTATTGGTGTGGTGTAAATCCACGTGAGTTTCACTAGAAGCCACTTAACTGTGAGCGAGTTACTGTCTGGTGTGCGACGTCGGTAATGGGAATAATTGGTCCTTATTTTTTTAAGAAAACGAACGCGCAGTTACCGTTAATGGGGCTCGTTACAGGAACATGATCGAGGAACTTTTTCTTCCAAGACTCGAAGAAATGAACTTTAGGAACGTGTGGTTTCAGCAAGATGGAGCCACAACACATACAGCACGAGACTCGATGAATTTGTTGCGACATCATTTCCCCGACCGCCTCATCTCTCTCAGAGGCGATCTCCAATGGCCGCCACGCTCTCCAGGTTTGACTCCATACGATTTCGTTTTATGGGGTTATTTGAAATTTCTGGTTTATGTCGATCGACCACGGACCATAGCACACCTCAAGAACAACATTCGCGACGTCATTGCCAAAATACCGATTGATATTCTGCATAGAGTGGAAACCATTATAAAAAAAGCGACTTCATTAGTTTATGCACAATGAAGGCCGTCATCCATGAGATTTAATTTTCAAAACTGTATGAAAAAAAAATTTGGGATACTGTTTCCTCGAATAAAAAAAATTTAAAACAATAACTGAAGTACTTTTGTTTTTATTGACCTTTCAAATAAGTAAGTTTCTGTGGCGCACCCTGTATTTTTTTTTTTTTAAATTTTAGTCGTTCGTTCTTACTACATCGATGACAAAAGCTGATAAATGCTTTACGGTTCTTGTTCCTCATGGTTACTTTGTTCTGTTCGCAGGGCGAGATTTGTTGCTGGACTCGGTAAATTTTTAAATATCATTCCGGCTTAACGTGATGCAGCTGAAGGGAGTGAGTATAGACACGTATGCACGTGTCTATACTCACTCACGGACGTGCATACTGTCTATACTACATTACCACGGACGCTGCACGTTTGCCTTGCCGGCGGCAGTTCACGTGTAGTACTAGTGGGTGGATAGCTAGAGGTCAGCATAGCCCAAGTCCACAGTGCGATTCATATACCTTCCCGAGCGTAACGCAGCCGGGCATCTTCACGGCTTTTGACACAAAGCGCCCACCACAACAGCGCAGTTCAGTCACAGGCTGGAGCGCATAAAGGCCGGAACACAACTGGCCGGAGCGCAGCAGGCCCTACCGCAACAGCTACTCCTAACGTAACCTAACCTAACCTAAACTGCGCCGCCTGTTGCGCTCTGGCCAGTTGTGCTCCGGCGCTGTGAAGCAGTGGCTGTGTTGTGCAAAGCGGATTTACTGTTAGCCGGAGTTACCCACAGCTCATTGATCTGAGGCTATGTGTAGATATTGCATGCTGATGGTTGGCGTTGGGCCCAGGGCCTGTTTACGAGTCAATTTTGATACCCACGGCTGCGCTCCCGTACTAGTGATGATCAGATGTCGAACGGTGAACGTTGCTCATTTCAATCGTGTAATTTTATTGACAAAAATGAACTTGTGAAGTATTTGACACATAAATGATATATTTTAAATGCTGAACATTATTAGAAACCACAAAATTCTTAGTTTTCCTGTACAATGCCTCTTAAAGTGGAATTCGTTGAAAAACGCGACGCCGGCATCGGCACTGAGTGAATAGTCGACATGGTGCAATGATGCCGGTATACTAGAACACTCGGTTGAGCTTCAGAAATTTAGGCACTGGCAGTAATGGAAATTTTAACTTGAGATTAAAGAGTGACGTTGCCATGAGCGTGTTATTGTAGCTGCTGGTGTCCATAAACTTCAGGTTCTAATTTCTAATTTATCGAGAAAGCTGGCATCACATGTGGAAATGTGTTCATATGTAAAAATTCAGTCTACAAACTTGTATTGGATTTAGTCTACATCAGTCACCGAGCCACTGCAAGAGAAACGTGTTCAAACAAGTCGTATTTTCTGTCATTATGTTTTTTTTTCGTTATCATTGGGTTTGGTACCAGAGTGCAATGGAAGTGCTATGGATTGGATTATTTTTGAAGAATTACAAATTATTAGAGGTTAAATATCCGAGCCGCCATTGAACAGGAATTAGGGAGGTCACAAATTTCTACTGAAATTTCGACGGTAGCAATTGATCTATTCTTCTTTAGAAACACTGTAAGCAGAATTTTTTAGACTCGTGCAAAACAGTTCGATAGACCGTACAAATGGCATGTCGTGAGTAGTCGTTAGCAAATTACACTGGATGTGAATGCACGCGGGTGTCGTCTTGCCCTGAATTGCATTACTGCGAACAATTAATCACATTTGGTATACTTCGTTAGGTACTGGAAACGCAGGAATCAGCTACCATATTGAATCTGCGCTATGTTGAATTGGTTGAAATTGAGCCCTGTAGATACACTAGGCTGTTGACTGCAAATATTTTGGGAGAACTTTGAAGACTGCTGTAAGTGGCCATTGTGGAAGAGTGCTTAACAGTATATGTGATTGTTTGATGCTGGCGAATATGAAAGAAGATTTATTATTAGTTGAGGTGACAGAATGTTTTGCTCTGCCGTGTGTAGAAAATTTTTGGTACCCACAATAGGTAGGAGTGCACATATATAAAGCGTACAGCGATTCAACCGCCCCTTCCTTTCCCCTATTATATGGGAGATCAGATGAACGTCTGGTTTTGCATATGTGCCCTTTCCCCCATTATATGGAAAGAAGGGAGGGGGCACTTTTTAACGCATTTTTCAGATTCGGCCCTATCCATGCCGAAGATATCAGTGCCAAATACGCGCCCCCCACGTTCGCCTAAAAGCTCTCTCGGTCTGTGACCGGATTCTAATCAGACGTTTATTTCGCTCGCACAACCATAGCGTAAAGCGAACATAGAATCGCTAATATTCGCGCTGGGCGAGCTGAAGGTGTCTTTAATTCTGAAGCTTCCCACTCTAAAACTTTGATAAGGAAGATCATACGTTCATAATAACTCAAATCTTCGAACCACAAATATGTAAATGCAGAATTATATACGTTGATGACGGCGGTTCGTCTTAAGATATGGTACCCGGTCAAATAATGTACACTCTGATTTTTATGCATTTGCAAGCTTCATCGTTGCGCTTATTTTAGGAATAAAGAGTTAGAGTGTAGAAGAAGAATTGCTATTGAATCCAGCATCGAGTGATATGATGTCTTACCACGCGTCATCATTGTGGATTCTTGCATTAATAATACGACAGTTCTACATTGCTGCAGGCTATCTTAGAGATTTCACTGCAGGGTTGACAGATTGGCGAGGTACATTCACGTATGAGGTAGGACGATAAAATCTAAATTCAAGATACCAGATGACTAGTTTCCAGATTTCCCCCTTCCTATTTTTTGGGGCACATATAATCTGCCTTTACCTAATGGGTTCCCAATGCGCAGAATATCATGGAATAAAGCCTGAGAATAAACATGCGACGAATTAAAAATAACTTTAAAACTTTGTGGCTGGGATTTGTACATAGTTTATCATTGGTATCACTTCAACTAATGCGTTTGACAGATTTCAAGTGCAACTCTGAATTTAATTTTTCAAAATATCTGCTCTCACGGTACATGCTACCTTCTCATGACCTATTGTTTAAGGAGGAATATGTGATTTTGAGAACTGCCATCCAATACAATTATTTCAGCTCACCGTCGTTGCAAACTCCGGCTGATCCTGAAGCAACCATTGCCAGAAGTCGTCGGCAAGCCGCTGGAACTCTTCGGAAAGTTGCGGCTGTTCAGAGGGAGCCTCGCACACGCAACATTCGCCTGCGTCTGTCACGGAGACATTTGTTTAAGTAACACGTTACAAATGATAACACTAAATAGGGAATTCATCTTTAACGACCTCCCGAAATAAGATTACGATGAGAAATCTATAACTCAAAACCGTGATTTTGAAACGCCCGTGTACAAAGTTTGATCAGTTCTCAAATCAGGGCAAAAATCACACGAGGGCAGAAGTAGCAAAATATTTCAGCGCTAATTTGCTGATCAGAATTGAATTAAAACTCACTGTTTCCAATAGTGATTATTGCGCTATTATTATTGTGTGGTGTCTTTATATTCAAGTTCCTAGGAGAGAGATTTCTTTCCGAGCGAAACTTGTTTCTTCTGCTAGTATGTTTCGAATTACATTAACGTAACCCAATTTGTCCACTCGTTACGCCACACATACGTGTGCCCCGGTGCGATTACGTTCTAATTTCCAGAGCTTGATTTGAGTTCAAGTTGCCAATTGGTAGGCTTGTCTTTATTGATTATTCGGTGCCCTGAAACTGAATTTATTTCATTGCCCTTTTAATTTATTGCCCAACGTGCGCACGTATGTTATGGAAACTTCTAACAGAAGCCTCGGAAATCATCACGCGAAGAAATCGACTATAAGTAGATGAAAAGCAAGTCCTAAATCCGAGGCTCTCTAACAACAAACTTATTCTAGTTAGAAGTAACAATTCATTCTGTTTATTCTTTCAACTATTCAATTCACTCTATTCTGGCGTGCTGGGAATGGAATTGCTTTTATTAACATTTTGGTTTGTTTATCTGTTCAATCACATATAAATATTGACTGCAATCTCACTGTACTCATTAGCTAAACTAATTTCAGAGTTTAGTAAAAAATATACCCAACATTATTTCGCAAAAATAGAATATGCCTGAAAACACGATGGTTTTACTTCGACACAAAAAATTTAAGTGCAGAATTTCAGAAAGACGTAAGAAGAGAAGCTAAATTTCTATCGAAAATAATAGGACTGTTTTCCTGTCATGGTTTTAGGTAACATTAATTTTGAGCAAGTAATTCCGGTACCGACGTTGCGCGCCTCCATATAATTAGTTGAATCGAGAGAAATTATTTGTGAACTTCTTCAATCTTGTTCAAGTCGTAAAGAAACTGTAAGTTCAGAAGAACATAGATTTCTAGTTTAATTATGTATCTTACTCAGAATACTTTGGTGGCCGGGCGCTTGAGCGTCTTTAGCGTCGACTACAACGCTGCAGTTAAACCCCGGTTGATCTCTGCAGTCTCCTTCCACCGTTGAAGGAGTTGATGAATCCTTTACGAGCGTCCCTGGTTTTAAATTTGTTGCAGTCATCCATAGATAGGTGTTTGTAATATAAATTATTTTTTACATAAACTGTATTGCAATAATTTCGTACAAAAAAGTTTACAATAACATGTAATCTTGTACTGATTTAGTACTTATGACGACGATCACATGTACGAGTTTAGTATTTTTGACTGAGAACGTGAAGAAATAAGAAATTATATGTGATATAATGAAGCATTCACGAGAGTTGACTGGTAAAATTTACGCCGATAGTTAACTAGCTGGATTCTAAAGTTTTATTTAATTATGTTATCACGTCACCTATAAGCAGCAATCAGGTTTGCAACGCAACTGGTCCTCACCTGAGGCTAGAAGCAGGGGCAGCACCGCAATCCTGATGATACACTTCATTCCAGACATTGAAATGGAGCTTCAGAACTGATTTATTTAATATAATTTAAACGTTATGCTGGAACTTCAACGGATTATTTGTATTTTATGCATTAGTCAATAAATATCCGAAAGAACATAATACAGCCTGCATTAAATGTTCTGCAAAACAAATTACTCAACCACACCGTTTTATTCAGAAGAATATTTTTACAATAGGGATAGATCGCATTATTTCTCTGACGTAGCAAAGAATGAATTATTTTACTGCTTGCTGAAAAAAAAAATATTAAAAATCATCATCCTACTTCCCTGCGCACAGAAGGCCGGATTCAGCGCAAGCGAACATTAATATAAATTCGGAACTGGTTTAAATTTGAAATAAACTTCATATCGGAAGTTCTATGCAAATTACGGTTACCCAAGCAGTTCTAAATCGGAACTGGTTGAAATTTGAAATAAACTTCATATCGGAAGTTCTATGCAAATTCAAGCATGCAAGCATGCAAGCCTTTCAGGGGTGAAATGTTAATTGGGTGCAGATGAAAAAAGAAATGAAACACTGGCTGGCCCCAGTTTATGGGTAACAAGATATAAGATAGAGCGTTTAAACGCAAAGAAAGGCACAGAGGGCGGCAATGACACCTAGAATGTTGGGCCAGACCAAAGAGGTGACACTGCATGCATTAATGTAACAAATTTGGGCCCTTGGCATGCCTTATATCAAATTGGTTGAAAAGAAATGATGTGGAAGCTAGTTTGCAGTAGCAAATACAACTTCAAAAAGCTGTTGCAGTCACTTCCATGCGAAATAGTTGACGCGCTAAGATCTTAATCTTCTTGGTCTCAGTTATACATTAAAATGGAACATAATTTCTAATAAACCGAACAAAATTTCTAATAAGGCACAGCGATATTTTTCATCCAATACATAAAATGAAATCAAACATAAATATAAAGGAATTGAATGTAATTTGCTATAGGAACCAACCCTGATTACAACCGTGTCGCAATTAGCGTTGTTGCTGATTACACTGTGGCTGATTGCAGCGGTGTTACAATCAAATACGAATTAATAGGACTGCTGCACCAGCAAAACGCAATATCAACAATCGAACATCCGCCGATACACGGTGCATTCAACTGAGCCTAGCCAGAAGCCATACCGAGCTTTTAACCTGCATTGGGGTCAGATAAAAACAGGATATTTTTGGCCAGACAAAAAAAAACGCACATAAACCGGTCCAGGTATGTCGGTTTAGCAAGCAGGTAGCGCTAAGGAGAGAGTTTGTGAGCTTGAACTGTTGCTCCATTGCTATGAAATTCGCTCGGGCATTCAACTAATCGACCTGTTATTTTTATTGAGGTCGAAATTAAACTTCTAAAATTGTTACATTTACTTACTGATCTGTGACGGAAAAATTACATTTACTTTCATACATTATAGACGAATTATCAAGCAAAGTGTAACTATCAAATAAACTCACGAATAAAACCCTAACATATATATTGAGAGAAAAAATAGATAGTCAATAAAATGTAAAGGGTCGCACGCAATCTATGGGGACATTGAAAATTCCTTTTGATCAAGGCACATTAAATAATTAATGAGCTTCATTAGTAGGTAATCTCTTCTGATGTAACAAACAGAAACAGACTTAAATGACCAATAATAATACTAAAAACAAACTATGTTTAAGGGGACCGGCTACCCCTAAATTTTCAATTTGGGGTTTTCCGGTTTTTGTGCTCATCTTAAAGCTTACTTTCTGACGCATCGAACGGTACCAGAATCATCTCTCTGTGTCGAAAAATGATTTCGTGATAGCTCCCTGAAGGGGGGCGGTTTTGAGGGCCCTTCAGTAAAGTCTATACTCTATGGGATTAATTCGAAGGCCGGACACACTAAAAAGGAACGTCTGACGTAAAGCGGCCAATTATGGCATTATCTGGTGCTTATACTCATCTTAAAGCTTACTTTCTGACGCGTCGAACGGTACCAGAACCATCTCTCTACCTGCATTTTGAGGCACAGGAAGCGTCGCAGAATGGGGGGCGGTGGGAGGCAGCCTTCACTATTTGAATGGGAGATAATTCGAGAGTAGCACTACAAATACCGCGTATAGCGGCCAACACACTCAGTGCCCATCATGACAGCGAGGTGAGAGGTATGCAGCCAGTCGCTCTATGCCTCCCTGACTTGGTTTGAGGCTTAGTTACGGTATCTAGGCTACGTTACGACTCTTTTACGTCATTTTACGTGCCGCGCGGCAGTTTTTTGGGCGTGGTGAAAACCTCCTATTGCTCTCACGGTAAATCTATCTCCTACAGTTTTGAAGCTACAGCAATGAGGCATATACCATTCGATTCGTAAAGACCATACCTATAAACTAACTGATCTTTTTTTTAATTTGTGTATATTCGTCTTATAAATGGGGGAGAAGGGGGAGGGAAGGGGGGAAAATGAGAATAAAATGAGAAAAATGGGGAAAACGCGCATAAAAAAAACTATGGGGAAAATGAAAAAAATGATCAGCTAGTCGATAGGTATGGTCATTACGAATCGAATGATACGTGTCTCGATGTTGTAGGATGATATTTGTAGGAAGAGATAGATTTTCCAAAGTACCCCTTTTTAGCCGTTTTCCATGAATTTCACGTTTTCTATCAATTTTTTTGAAAAATTTATTCGAGCAAAATCTTATTGTTTTTACATTTTACGTATGTATGTGAAGTTTCATGATGATCGGATAATAACTGTAGAATTTTTTCCGGAGGGTAGCCGGTCCCCTTAATACATGCCACTATCACAGCATCTTACTAGAAGTTCTAATTAAATAAAAAAAAAATTCCATGCCTAATGATCGTGGTTAAGTGACAAAGCCGATAGCAAAATCAATTTAATGCCAACTAATTTTAGCGCTATGTCAGAAGAGGCAGTTGTGTTGTCAACTGACTAACAAAAAATAAGTTAATTTTAGCAGCAGCGAATAGAAAAAATTCTTTAAAGCCTCGTTGCAGTTGTGAGATCCAACATTTATATAGCACTGCACTATCTAATGACAAGCCGCAAGCATGAATCACTGAAAAATTTATACGAAATTAACGGAATTGTGAAAATTCGTTCGTGAAAATAAACTAGGGTCAAACTCTTACTTGACTCAAATCAGTGGAAAGTTGACTAGCAGCCTAACTACAAAAAATAATTGCATAATTAAATTTTGAGTTTCATTTAGTAAAATTGCAGCACCAAAAATATGAGTTCGATTTAAAAAATATTACACCGCAATTGGTTCTCGGTAACATAATAAAGCACTAATAATTGTTTGAACATGAGTAGCCAAAGTATGTGTCAACAAAAAGTTGGCAGCTGCAGGCTCAAAAAATTTCCTACGAGTCTAGTGACCGAAACGGTCCAAAGGCTTAAATTATTGTCGTCGTAAGATCTCTCAACTGGCACTAGGCATTTCGACCCCTATCAAAATTTTTAGTTGGTGGCGACCCTGAATTAGGAACCGCCTAGGACTCGGACCGAACGTAAATCAGCTCATCTTATATATGTCCACTTTTTGGTCTACATTCCGGTCCCCGAATCAGACAGCTACCAGAGCCTGTTGAGGGGACTGAGGGGATTCTGCCAACTCTTGCCCTACTCTCAGGAGACCATAAAGTCGGCCAGGAGGTTCTGACTAGTCGCTGATTGCGATCAGTTGGCCAGCTGACCAATAATAACTCTTAACGCGAACATAGCAACTCTGGGGCATAGGCTGAAGCATACCCCGAATTTTGTTAGGGACGTAGGACGTAGCATGCGCGCTTTAATTGTAGAGCTAAGAAAATAAAAATACATAGAATCATCAGCTACAACCTGATTAGTTGATGTTTCGGTTCCTAAAATTTTTTGTAATTAGTCATTTTACCTCCTCGTCTCATTTCATTCATTGAATTTTTTTGCGGTTTCTTCGTCGTGTGAAACTTTCCCACTCCAAAGCAATAGAATTATTTTTCTCTTGAACTAACAAGCATTTTTTTAATTCAAAGGAAATTGCCTGTTTGCCCGTAAAACGTTATTAAAATTATCAAGATCTAACTTTTCTGGAAGTTAAGGGCATTTTATTTCTTTTCTATTCATGCTTTGTTCAGATAACTGATAACATACATTGGGATTTTCCCATTGAATGCAGCTTTGCTAATGAGACATAAATGTAACTAGGTTTTTACAGGAAAGGCTCTTATGAGACTTAATTTTTTCTGCGAGTTTATAACCTTTGCATTTGCTGAGTGCTTATAAGTAGGTATTTATCTCACTTGCCACCCATTGTAATGTCCACAATCTACACGCAGATGAAAATGTGGCTCGTACTAAAACAAATACGAGAAGTCCTTCGCTTAGTTGATAAGTATTTTCTTAGTCTATGAAATTTAACTCCCAAACTTGTTAAACTGGGTGATATTACGCATTTGCCAGTGTTCTGTGGCGGTTGACTACATACCTACAATTACTGCAGCCAAATGAACACTGACCACTATGTCATCCCGTAAGCTTGAGCACAAGGCTCCGGTGTTCGGTGTTGCTGAGTGTGTGCAACTAAGACAAGATATGTATGTCTTGTCCAAAGATCCGTACGATGCTGATTAAAGAAGTCACAATTTGGGAGGACTTAAATACTTTTCGTAAATTATAGTATCTCATCGAATACGCAGTAACTGGTGAAATATGGTGATAACGGAAATAATAATTGCGAATGTGGATTTTCCAATTCGAATCCCTGAAGTTGGCCAAGTTAACGGTTTTTATGATTTGTACATGTTTGTACAGAAATGTATGTTGCCAGAGGCGTGCCTTTAATTTTGCCGGTCAGCGTTACACGCAATACATGTGCGAAAAATTTCGTGCATAGAGTATCTTGTGCAAAATAATTCTTCACACAGCAATACACAATTTATTGAACTGGCTTAAATAAAAAGAGCAAATAATACAAATTTCAATATAAATTATCTTGATTAGCAATGATGACCTTAGAAAGCAATTTGTCACTTGAAAACTCTGCGCTCGCCCTTTTTTCTTCATAGTTTATTGTGATTTTGCAAGCTCTCTGTCGACCCAGGCTTGTACTTCTTCCTTGACAAGGTCCATTGGGCCGACGCTGTTGAGGATGACGTCATGAAAGTCTTTGAGGTTGAACTTGTCTCCGAGTTGCTGTTCTGCAGAGGCCCGGAAAGAAGATATCTGCATTTGGCCGATCTTGTAAGACAAGGCTTGAGCCGG